TTCATTAGTGATAAGGCACTTTGGATAATACACAAATAAATATACAACAGCAAAGTGTCTGCTTATTGTTATGAAATTCCTGGCCAGGGTAAATAGATACCCATTACTCTTGAATTCCAATCCTGTGTCTTAACCACCAGTCCAGACAAAGCTTAGAATTGAGAGTTACTACTAATAGACTCTGCTGATAGAACACTGAGCAACTGGTCTTCCTGCACCCTGTAACAGTGCAACTCATAACTTCAGCCTCAAGCTAGAGCATTGAAAGGAGTATTAAGGATCTGATTCTGTCACGGAGGTTACGAATACCATGACTTCAATGGACCTCCATGACTTCTCTGGGTTCTGCCTGCAACAGCGGGGCTGGAACAGCTGTCAGCCCCCCACCCAAGAGCAGCAGCAGGGCTGGAGTGGTGGCCTGAGCCAGAGCAGTGGCTGGCAGTCTGCCCATACTGCTGGAGTAGTGGCTGCCAGAGCAGCGGAAAGGGCCGGGTCAGCCACCACTGGAGCAGATGCAACCGCTGCTGCCACAAGAGCAGCTCCCAGGGCTGCTGGATCAGCTCCCAGGGCCAGAGCAGGAGCAGCGGCTGTCAGGGCCAGCAGTCAGCCATTGCTGCAAGAGCAGCGGCCGGGCTGGGTCAATGCTGCAGGAGGAGCAGCGGGGTTGGAGCAGCGGCCTGTAGTCATCCCATGGCTGTTAGGGTGTTTTTAATAAAAGTCACGGACAGGTTGCGGGCTTTTGTGAATTTTTTTTATTGTCCGCGATCTGTCCATGACCTTTATTAAAAATACCTGTTGCAAAATTTTAACCTTAAGTATTATTGACAGGAGGAAGAGAGTGAGAACAGATTAGTCAAATTTTAATCTTTCTTTTTAATGGTCAGGCTGAGACACATGTAACAATCAAAACCTATAATTTTCCATTTAATTTGAGAGGAAATAAGTGCCAATGCCAGCTGTCTATATTTTTTTAAAAGCCTAGTTTGTTTTGGAATTGGTGTTTGGGGGGAATAGAATTTAACAAATAAAGTTTGTGACATTTATGGCAGATATCTGTATTATTTTATGAATATTATGTAAACCTCAGTTTGATTGCTATATAGTTTAAAGGGTGTCAACTCCTGCCACAGCTCACCCCAGGTCAGGAAGGCAGACAATGGCTTTATATAACCCAGTCACTGGTACTTAACTGACAATACAGGTGTGAAAACCTTTGAAGTTTTGCCTCTGACCAAGCTGGGCCCAACATCCATTGTTTTGGGATATGGGAGGGAGCCTTCGGGCAAGAAACTTGAAGCAAAGAACTCTAGAGTAGATAAAATCCTGAGGCCCTAAGAGGCAGTGACTGCAGAGAAGCAGTCTGAATCCCAGTCCTCAGAAGTGGAAGTACCTAGGATAAGTTGGGGTTACCTACGCTTTGAGGGAAATGTTAAAAGGGAAACCATATGTGTGTGGGTCTCTTGTTTTAGCCCTTTTCCTGTGAATCCTATGTTCCTATGGATAAATAAATAATTGTTTTGAAACAACTATTCTGCGTCCCTGTATTTACCTGGTGATCAATTGCTCCCAAAGGGAAATCTCTCTTGCAGGTGCAGAAATCATGGCTGGGTTCTGTAGCTCGGACTATGAGGGAAAGAATCATGGGATTCCACCCTGAGATGAGTGAAGGCACAGGGCCTGTCACTTGAAAGGATGCAATGGAGAGAGAGAGAAGAGGGATCAAAGCTGCAGCTAATCCTGTAACTGTGATCATGGGTTATTAATTTTAGTCTTTGAATCTGTGTGTGTAATTGGTGCATATCTTTATGATTGATTTAGGGAATCGGGGAATGATCCTAAGTACTGAGTACCCTCAACTCACATTGAAACCAATGGAAATTGAGGGCAATTTTGCAGGATCAAACTCTATGGTGAAAGTTTTTCTTTCTTTCTTTCTTTTTCATAGCTATTTTTATTCACTTTTTATTTTCTCTCTCAGTGCTTCCTCCTGTTGCCATGGCAACATGCAGTGGCAGTTAAATTGTACTGCTAACGTGCCTTTTCCTGTAGTAGAATGGTAATAGCTAATATTTGATCTAGCCCAAGTGCTGACTCAGGGATGCAGTTGTACATATACTCTCCCTCTTTACTCTTTTTAATGAATAATGCATCAGTCTCATTCACCTTGTGCTTCTTAAAAGTGATATCCAGTCACAGTTAATTACTTCAATTTTCTTTTTTGATGCCTACACCATTGAAGTGTTGGAATTAGCTGATGTTATGAAACTGGCTTTAAAAACTCTGCTGAATTTGGAACAAAATGGCACAGGACAATGAGAAGCATGAGACTTATCTTTCTAAGCAAAAGTTGTAGAAATCTATATGCTAGTCGGAAAGAATCTACCCCATATTTTTCCCTTTGGAAAAATGTAAATAGAGAATTTCTCTCCAGCACATTCACTTATATAAATCTAACATTGCATTCCAACTAACTTTTAAAAACATCACCATTTGCTTTGTAGTGCTCCGTCAAGCTGAATGGAAACTTTTTTTAAAAAAAAGCCCCACCATAATAGAAGCTCAAATTAAATGTATACCCCCAAATTTAAAAAATAGTAAGAGGATCAAAAAAATGCCGCCATGGGTAAACAACAAAGTTAAAGAGGTGGTTAGAGGCAAAAAGGCATCCTTTAAAAATTGGAAGTCAGCTTCCACTGAGGAAAGTAGAAAGAAGCATAAATTTTGGCAAGTCCAAGTATAATTAGGCAGGCCAAAAAGGAATTTGAGAGCAACTAGCAAAAGACTCAAAAACTAACAGCAAAATATTAAGTACGTCAGAAGCAGGAAGCCTGCCAAACAATCAATGGGGCCACTGAACCATGGAGGTGCTAAAGGAGCACTCAAGGAAAACCAGGCCATTGTGGAGAAGCTAAATGAATTCTTTGCATTGGTCTTCACTGCAGAGGATGTGAGGGAGATTCCCAGACCTAAGCTATTCTTTTTAGGTGTCAAATCTGAGGAACAGTCTCATATTGAGGTCAATAAAGGAGGTTTTGGAACAAATTGATAAATTAAGCAGTCATAAGTCACCAGGACCAGATGTATAGAACTACTAATTGTGGTATGTAACCTATCACTTAAACCAGCCTCTGTACCAGATTACTGGAGGATAGCTAATGTGACACTAATTTTTTTAAAAGGCTCCAGAAGCGATCCTGTCAATTACAGGCTGGTAAGCCTAACTTCAGTACCGGGCAAACTGGTTGAAACTATAGCAAAGAACAGAATTGCCAGGTGCATAGATTAACACAATTTGTTGGGGGAAAGTCAACATGGCTTTTGTAAAGGGAAATCATGCCTCACCAATCTATTAGAGTTCTTTGAGGGGGTCAACAAACATATGGACAAGGGTGAGCCAGTGGATATAGTGTATTTGGACTTTCAGAAGGCTTTGGACAAGGTCCTCCACCAAAGGCTCTAAGCAAACTAAGCAGTCTTGGGGTAAGAGGGAAGGTCCTCTCATGGATCAGTAACTGGTTAAAAGACAGGAAACAAAGGGTAGAAATGAACGGTCAGTTTTCTTAATGGAGAGAAGCAGTGCCCCCCCCCAGAGATCTGTACTGGGACCAGTTCTGTTCATCATATTCGTAAATGATCTAGGAAAAGGGGTAAACAGTGAGGTGGCAAAGTTAGCAGACCATACACAATTACTCACGATCGTTAAGTCCAAAGCAGACTGTGAAGAGTTACAAAGGGATCTCACAAAACTGTGATTGGGCATACGAAATGGAATGTTGATAAGTGCAAAGTAATGCACATTGGAAAACATAATCTCAATTATATATATAAAATGATGGGGTCTAAATTAGCTGTTACCACTCAAGAAAGAGATCTTGGAGTCATTGTGGATAGTTCTCTAAAAACATCTGCTCAATATGCAATAGCAGTCAAAAAAGCTAACAGTGTTAAGAAGTACACCTCTACCCCGATATAACGCAACCTGATATAACACAAATTCAGATATAACGCAGTAAAGCAGTGCGCCAGGGGAGGCGGGGCTGTGCACTCCGGCAGATCAAAGCAAGTTCGATATAATGTGGTTTCACCTATAATGCGGTAAGATTTTTTTGGCTCCCGAGGACAGCGTTATATTGAGGTAGAGGTGTATTAGGAAGGAGATAGATAATAGGATGGAAAAGAACATAATGCCACTATATAAATCCATGGTACATCCAAACTTTGAATACTGTATGTAGCTCTGGTTAAAGATATATTACAAATGGAAAAGACACAGAGAAGGGCAACCAAAATGATTAAGGGTATGAAACAGCTTCCATATGAGGAGAGATTTAAAAGACTGGGACTTTTCAGCTTGGAAAAGAGACAACTGAGGTGGGATGTCATGGAGGTCTGTAGAATCATGACTAATGTGGAGAAAATGAAGAATAAAGAAGTGATATTTACCCCTTCACATGACACAAGAACCATGGGTCACCCAATGAAATTAATAGGCAACAGGTTTAAAACAAACAAAAGGAAGGAACTGGTTCTTCACACAATGCACAGTCAACCTGTGGAACTTGTTGCCAGGGGATGTTGTGAAGGCCAAAACCATAACTGGGTTCAAAAAAGAATTGGACCTATCCTTCATGAATTTATCTATCAATGGCTATTAGCCAAGATTGTCACAGATGTAACTCCGTGCTTTGGGTATCTCTAAGCTTCTGACTGCTAGATCCTGGGCGTGGATAACAGGGTATGGTTCACTTGATAATTGCTCTGTTCTGTTCACTTCCCTTTGAAGCATCTGGCATTGACCACTGTTGGAAGACAGGATACTGGGCAAGACGGACCATTTGTCTGACCCAGTATGGCCTTTTTTATGTTCTAATTTTATGCTGGGAAAACCCCAAATGTCAGAAACCTGTAGTGATGCTGAGAGTCAGGTAATGTGTAGCACACCTATATGTGTTCACAGTTGGCTGCATATAATTTTATTTTGTTTTATTTTATTTTTGTAGAGAAAATCAGACAAAGATATGCAGATCTGCCAGGGGAGTTGCACATTATTGAGCTTGAGAAAGATAAGAATGGGCTTGGACTCAGCCTTGCTGGCAACAAGGACAGGTCTCGTATGAGCATTTTCATAGTTGGCATCAATCCAGAAGGACCTGCAGGAAGAGATGGAAGAATGCACATTGGTGATGAACTTTTAGAGGTAAGTGATTCCTTCAGCTATATGATTGGGTTGGTGTCAAGAGAGGGAGGAAAGCCTGTGAACCTAGTAATGAAATACAAAATAAAGATTTGGTGCCAGTTCCTGGAACTGTGGTGACTTATGCCAGCTGAGGATCAAAGAAACAGAAGAAGGTATTAAGATGACTGGAAAATAGGTAACATTCGCTATGCAGATGAGACAATGCTGTTGGCTGATTCGGAAGGTCTGATGAAGTTATTAGAGGTTATATGTGAATATGACAAAGAATATGGGTTAGAGTTGAATGTGGACAAGACAAAAACTATGGTGGTATCCAATGATCCTGCAATATTCCATTGAGCAACATAGTCATATAGTAAGTGAGAAATTATTGCTACTTAGGAAGCATTACAGAAGATGGAAAATCAGATATTGAGGTCAGCACCAGAATAGCAAGAGTGAACTCTCAAAGAATAAACATCTAATGAGAAAGGGACATAATTTCTGACTGTTTAAAAACTTATGTATGATCTGTGTTAAATATTGTGATCCATTTTACTCAGTTGTTAGAATTTAAAACATTGACTTCTTTCTTTCTTTCTTTCTTTCTTTCTTTCTTTCTTTCTTTCTTTCTTATTGGTGATGTCTGGTGCAAACTAACCCACAGAGCAAGTTATTCTATCAGCAAATAAAGTATTTCTTCTTCCTTTCTCCTCGACTCCTTTTCATCTTCCGGCTTGAAACACATTTCAAACCTTTCGACCTGATATTTGACTACTGCAGAGTGGCACTTAGTGCTGAGGGTCTTTTACTATTCCCGCAGTAGTTCCCACATCATGACTGCTTTACAGGTTTGAGAAATCATTCATCCCTGTGGATGTTTCTCTTCTCAAGAAGCTTTCACTGAAGAGTAGGTATGTGCTGACCTACTAGACTCAGTGGGAGGTGATGTTAGATCTTTCAGCAATTCTGTCTCTGTGTTGTATGAATACTGAGTATTTTCTCTCATTTCTTAAACCTGAAAAGGAGAAGTCTGTCTAGAGATGCCTTGGGAGCACTTAGAATTATCTAAAGATTTGTCAGTGTCTAATTATAGGTTTTCAATACCCATGCAGTGTAAGAGGCTTGTTTTGAAATAAAGTATCACTGTATGAAAATTTGTCTCTGTTAGGGTGATAAATTGCGTTAAAGTCTCTGTCTCTTGCTGAAATAATGACAGGCAAATTGCCCTTTCCTGCAAATTCCTGTTGGTCCATGCTTCAGTTACTATAGAATCCTAGTGTTAGAAGGGACCGCAGGGGTCATCTAATCTAACCCCTTGTCAAATGCAGAATTTGTTGTGTTATAACTTTCAAGGGACCACTACATTTTACAGAAATATTAAAAGGTAATTTGTCATTCTTTCTCACACTTGAGCCCTAAAGAAAAGATAATACTTTAGGCTTTGCTCGCTAAAGTCTAGTAACCTACCCACGCCTGTATTCTTTACTGACTCTCAGCTCAGGCAAAACTCCCGTTGATATCAGTGGATCTGTGGTTCAGGCAAAGAACTGGTGGAAAGGTGGTTGCTATTTTAGTAGGTCTGGCACAGACTTTCTGGGTGGTCTTTTTAATCTCCATCAACTTCCTGGTGCCTCAGTTTCTCCATCTATAAAATGGGGGTAATAATACTTCCCTACCACACAAGAGTGTTACAAAGCTAAAATCATTAGTGCTTGTGAAGTCCTTTGACCTCAGATGAAGCAGGGGAACTAGAATGGGCATTAAAACTTAAGACTGAGAGATGGAAACGCATGATGAAGTTGCAAGTTATTGTTTGTTTATTATGGGAGTTTGTACTTTGGCAGGAATGTAGATTCTGAAATGTACAAAGAATTAAAGATGAGTTGAACTAGACTGATAAATCTTGGGTGTGTACCAGCCCAAACAAAATGGACCCACAAATAGAGTAGGTGTTATGCTGCTCAGAGATCAGGTAGTTTTGGATGCTAGCTCCCTGAACCTTGGAGGACTTTTACACCGATATGCTTACACAGATAGGGGGAGCCTCTGAGGTTTTCGCCTGACTCCTAAATTATTCCCTGCATCATATAATCCTTCTAACCATAGGTACTGCTGTCCTTGAGAGATGGGCCATGTGGCATTTCT